CCAGGTATGTTAAGTATGCGCTCTGATATTTTAGTATCCTTGGCTGTTTTTAACGTTTCAACCGTCTTACGACGTTATTTAATTTCCAGATGACTTCAGGGTCAGTCTCCCTTGGGTTTCGGCTTGAGCCGTCTTTTTTGTGCCCGCAGACCCGCAAAGCAAAGTTAGAAAAACCGTAGGTTTTTGCGGATACTTCTGGCAAACTGGCGGGTTTCTGCGGGCCTCCAGACCACGACAAACGATATTGTTTATGTGCTCATAAATAACATTCGCCCATGTCTTCTCAAACTTCACACCAGAGGGGTCAGTGGGACCTAAACGCATTTGGGTCGCGTTGCAGAAATCCATTAATTGTCTAAAAATATAATAGCATGCCACCAATAAAGATCAAAGTGGGTCAGCAGCCTATGATGGCCTGAAATTGTCATTTATTAAGAATTTGGGGAGTGTTGTGTTTGAATGACAAACAGACAAAAGCTTTGCTATGTTATAACGGTTAACATTCAGTTGATACATTGGCTCACGTCTCGTCCAGATAGAAGCGAGCTAAACGCCTGGCATCACATGGACCTAACGATACTCAGCCTTAACCTAAACCTAACCCCACATTCAGGGCACGTTGAAAGCAATAGAAAAGCCCAAGTGTCGGGCCGTGAATGCGGCCCAGATGCCGCCAGTGGCCGCGGCCGCCATCCCAGCTGTGCTCGGCTGTCGGCTGCACCTGTGGGGCCGACTGTCGGGCGCTGCCGCCAGTGCCGTTGCCGTCGTCGTCGCCATGCTGTCCCGGGTCCGCATCGCGCGTCGCAGAGAGGTTCGGCGAGCGGGGTTTGCCGTGGCGGGCCGGCGGTCGCCGGCGGTGGTGTGGCCGGCCGGGCGGCGATGGCCGGTATGACCACCGCGTCCCTGCTCCCGCGGCTACAGCCGGGAGGTGGGCTGGTGTCGTGCGCTGGGGACGGTATGTGACCTGCTCGGGGCGCGGGCGGCGGTGCGGCCTGTCGCCGGGTGTCCTGCCATGGTGTAAGTCGTGACGACGCCAGTGAGCGAGCAGCATGGTGGTTCGGATCTGATCTGGGTAGCTCCGGCTTTATCTGGAGGGGCTTGACGTCAGAGACGTGCACGTTTCGTGCTAATGCAAGCATGGGGTGTTATGTGTGTGTGTGTGTGTGTGTGGGTGGGTGTCTGTGTGCCGGGGCGTTGGAAACAGACGGCTCTCCGCTCACGGCGTCAGCGGCCGTCCCGCATGTGGTGTGGCGCCGCCCGGCCAGCGCCGCCCGGCCAGCGGCGCCTAGTCAACGCCGCCTGGCCAGCGCCACCCGGCCAGCGGCGCCTAGTCAACGCCGCCCGGCCAGCGCCGCCCGGCCAGCGGCGCGTAGTCAGCGCCGCCCGCCCAGCGGCGCCCGGCCAGCGGCGCCCGGCCACGCTTTGTGGTCCCAGCGGAGCATAGGCCGGTCCGGTGCCCTTGTGCGGTCACGTACGCGCCACACTTCGGCGCCACTCGCATGGTGTGTTGTCATAGCGATGCGGCGTACGTGTATCGTTGACACAACCGTACACAGGCCATTGGGCGAGTTGACAGGATCAAATCAAAAGAAGTTGCCTTTGGGCGTGGGACAGAATAGTAGACCGAACAGTCACGTATGATCCTTGGACGGGGAACGGAAGCCCCCGCCATATGTTAATGGTTGTTTTGTGCGTGCCATTGGTAGTGGTTCACATTTAGAGTTGTCTTTGACATCAGGGTACCACATAAACAAAGCGGAATGGCTCCTGCCGTCTTCAAATGTTATGTTCTGGGTTTGGGTATCAGTGACACCCGACTTGCGCTCAGGAGTTCCAGCTGCCGAATCGCTGAATTTAAGTCTAATCGCGTGCGAGTATCTTCCTTTTCGGCTCGATACAACAGCTGAGCAGCCTTTGTACGGCGGCATGTAACCACTGTACGGTGGCCCGTAACCACTGCAGCCACTGTACCGCGGCCTGTAGCCACTACAGCCACTGTACGGCGGCTTGTAGCCACTGCAACCAATGTACGGCGGCCCGTAGCCACCGCAGCCACTGTACGGCGGCCTGTAGCCACTGGAGCCACTGTACGGCGGCCTGTAACCACTGCAGCCACTGTACGGCGACCTGTAGCCACTACAGTCTCCGTGTGGCGGCCTGTAAACACTGAAGCCACAGTTTGGCGGCCTGTCGTCGCGGCCGTCTGCCATCGCCCATCGAAGTACTCTGGTCATGCTGACGGCCGACCAGCTCTTTCGTAGGATCATACGGCTGTGCTGAATGCGTGGCTCTTCGCTCGGTGCTTAAGATGTATGACATGCCCCGAAACGCAGGCTGCTTTCTGAAATTTGCGTTTTGACCTACACTGTGCCAGAATATCTATCTTTTTGTGCTCTATCCTCTCTTCTTCCTGGATTCAAAACCGAAATAAATCGTCTTGCCGACGCAATATGCGTCGGTGGGTCGGCTTATCCCCCTTGCGAACGGAATCCGTCTTGTTTGGTGCAGTCAGAGCTTGCAGGGCTCGTCAGGGGCCCTCGCCGACATCACGTGCTCGCGACAGGCCGCTGAACGCTAGCATTGTGGCATTGCACTGGAGGCCCGGTCCCCGGCCGCCAGCGTGTAACGTGTCTGACGATGGTGATGTGGGACACATAGACTCCGCCATATGGCTGGGGTGGTGCTTTCAGCTGGTCGACGTCTGGTCGCCACTAGGAGCATGGCGGTTGCGTGCCCGCTGACGCGAACGCTGTCATCGCGCTCCACGAGCACGGCCGGCGCGGATGGCCCCGTCGGAGGGTGTGGGATCTGTGAGGCATTCACCAGTATTTGCGGCCTGGGACTGGCCAGTGGGCCAGGAGCCGGACCAGAGTGGCCAGTGTGCGGGGACCCAGGCCGGAGTGGCCGTTGTGCCAGGAGCCGGACCGGAGTGGTCAATGTGCTGAGAGCCAAACCGGAGTGGCCGGTGTGCCGGGAACCGTAATGGAGTGGCCAGTGTACCGGAGCCGGGCCTGGGTGGCCAGTGTACCGGAACCGGGCCTGGGTGGCCAGTGTACCTGGAGCCGGACCTGGGTGGCCAGTGTACCGGAGCCGGGCCTGGGTGGCCAGTGTACCGGAGCCGGGCCTGGGTGGCCGGTGTACCGGAGCCGGACCTGGGTGGCCAGTGTACCGGAGCCGGACCTGGGTAGCCAGTGTACCGGAGCCGGGCCTGGGTGGCCAGTGTACCGGAGCCGGACCTGGGTGGCCAGTGTACCGGAGCCGGGCCTGGGTGGCCAGTGTACCGGGGCCGGACCTGGGTGGCCAGTGTTCCGGAGCCGGGCCTGGGTGGCCAGTGTGCCGGAGCCGGGCCTGGGTGGCCAGTGTACCGGGGGGTCAGCCCGGACAGGCCGCCTTCCAGTGCTCTGCTCCGAGAGCTGATCCCGTCGACCGGAGGCCGGTGTGCCGGCGGTCGGCCACCACTGCCGCGCCGCGCTGGCCGCGGCTGGGGGAGGGGGGGGGGGGGGGCTGCGCGCCTTGGAGGTGACTCCGCGGCGGCGGTTGTACGGCGCCTTTGGGTCTCCCAACGCCACGCTGGCGGTCGCTCGTCGCGCCCCGGCGATGGTACGCTCCCAGTTGTGTAAGCAGGCGACCGGCGTGCCGTTTTCCCACGCGGCGCCGTCACGACGCCTGTCATCAGGCCTTGATCTCAGCCCGGGGGTTATGGGGCCGGGCCGGGCCGCGGCCGGGCCCCGGTCGTGACGGGCCGGCCTCTCGCCTCGGCCGCTGTCGGCGCGGGACGGGCCATACTGGCCGCGCAGCTGCAGATAACTGTGGCTGCAGCCAGATGCCTGTGGCGGCAGCAGTTGGTAGCCTATGGCTTAGCCTGGGACGGTCTCGTAGTCGACTCTCGGGGAGAGTGCGCTCATCGCACTCGTTCCCTTGCTCGAAGCCATGACGTCTGGGTTCTTTAAGATATTTTTGTGCTTTGACCATGTATTGTCGCTTCCATTCCATCTGATATGACTTTTATTACTTTTCCCCGTGCTTCACCCATGAGCATATTTTTAGCGATGATTTCCTCGCAGCTGGCCTATTTTCCTTGTGATGGCAGTAGCGTACTGTGTCCGTGTTCGTCAAGATCCGGATCTGGAATGGCTGGGGCCGCCACAGCTACCGGCCAGTCGACTGTCGCACCTTCTCGGGGTCTGCAGCAGCACCAGCCGCTCAGTCTCGGCCCGTGTGTGCAGTGCACGAGCATCAGCACCTCGCTGGAGTGGGCGCTGCCGCCCGGCCCGGTCGAACATAGCCTGTGGTCGACAGCGCCACTCCGGCCCCAGCTCTAGGCGTAACGGTATCGAGACAGCCCGCCGTTGCGGTCCCCAAGGTCCTGTCTGTCGGCGGACATGGAACGTAGATCAGGCCAGAGGGACCCTGTCAGTAAGCCCTCTCGGTCGCAAGGTACTTCGAGACATAACGAGGCGTATCAACCCGTCCTGACAGCGTGTTCATGGACGCTGACAGCGACATGTCATTCCGTCAACCTACGGGCGCTCCGAGCGATGGCGCACGGCCGCCGACGTGCGGAGGGCTGGCTCTGACGCTTGGTGCCCTCGCTCGTACCGTGGCACGCCTGCCGGCTCTGCCAGGCTGCGAGCCTGTGTCGCGCTGGCCGCACTGTCAGTGGGCATCGAGCCGGAGCCTTAATGAGCCCTGTATTCACGATCGCTGTATATCTCAGCCGAAGCGTCTTGTCCGTGCCATCAGCAGCCGTTGACTTGGTTGATGTCTAGATGGTACTGTGCTCACGTGGATTTGACGGACCACGTGCTCCCAGGCTGCAGGGCCGCATTGCACAGTAGCACCGTTGCTTTCAGTTCTGTTTCATATCACAGCTTCTGATGTATGTTGTTATCAGCACCACTACCGCCTACGTTCCTGTCACGCGTGACATTCTGTAGTATATCGTTCTGCTGCGCACGTCGGCTGTTACGCTGACACTGGCTGGCGCGCGTCCGTTTCAGATCAGCGTCAGTCACCAGGAGGCATCGAAGCCGCGCAGCCCGCACGACCGACCCGCCTCGTACGGCGGCGGCAAGGGCCGGCCCCCGTCGGCCGTCGCCCCGCAGACGGGCCGGGAGGAGCGGCGCGCCAGGCCCGGCACGGCCCCGGCGGCCGGCGCCGCCGCCCCGCCGTCAGCCAAGCCCAAGCATCAGGTGCGTCTCGCCGGCGCCGCGGCCCGGTGTGTAGCGCTAAGGCCGGTCAGTGCGTGTCGCCGGGTCCGGTCAGTATATATTCCTGGGTCCGGTCTGTGCGTATCCCAGGTCCGGTTAGTGTACAGTCCCGTGTCCGGTCAGTGTGCAGTCCCGTGTCCGGTCAGTGTATATTCCTGGGTCCGGTCTGTGCGTATCCCAGGGTCTGGTTAGTGTGCAGTCCCGTGTCCGGTCAGTGTGCAGCCTCGTGTCCGGTCAGTGTGCAGTCCCGTGTCCGGTCAGTGTGCAGTCCCGTGTCCGGTCAGTGTATATTCCTGGGTCCGGTCTGTGCGTATCCCAGGGTCTGGTTAGTGTGCAGTCCCGTGTCCGGTCAGTGTGCAGTCCCGTGTCCGGTCAGTGTGCAGTCCCGTGTCCGGTCAGTGTGCAGTCCCGTGTCCGGTCAGTGTGCAGTCCCGTGTCCGGTCAGTGTGCAGTCCCGTGTCCGGTCAGTGTGCAGTCCCGTGTCCGGTCAGTGTGCAGCCCCTTGTCCAGTCAGTGTGGAGCCCCGTTCCGTGCCGAACACTACATCAGGTGGTGGCTTCGCTGGAACACGAACGGAGGGCCCCTATTTGTATTATGCAGATCATCGTTACGCTCTGCAACCGTTTTTAGGGGTTGGTGCCGAATTTTGTGCTTACGAGCTATGCGCGCGCTCCGAAGGGCTTTACTTTTCAGTGAGTCACTGTGGCAACAAAGCCGACCAGAGTTGAGCTGTTTAGGGGGCAGGCGGCCTTCGAGTGGGTAATCCACCGGCCGTGGTGCTAAAAGACGCGACGCTGGACTGTCTTCGCTTGGTATCAGTCCCGTAGCGTTTTCATGGTAGTATAATTTGAACTCTTCCTCTTCAGATGATCATGCGCAGTACACTAAGATGACTTGCATACCAGCTGAGTCAGCGTGTATTTGCGTATCAGTCTTGGAATTGGGGCATCCGGGACCGGGCTGTGACCGCGCGGACCGCCTAGTTTTACGGACTGGGTTCATGAGGTGATTCGAGCAACGATTACATAGGGGACCTGAATTCTCTCATGGAGGTGACAGGTGACGGAACCTCCACAGCTCAGGTTACGATGCTGATTGGCTGCTTCTGTGAAGAGTTCGCGTGTTGAATCCACCAGGAACAGGGTGCGGAGGGGCGGCTAGAAGTTGCGATGTTTTTTGCGGGCAGAATTACCACTAAAAAATCTCGGGTCAAGGTTATAGTTGTGTAAATGTTTCATGCAGCCACAATATGAAATCAATCCCCAGGAGGATATCTGTATTTCGTTTAACCGCAGTAAGCCTCGAGAAAATGTTAAGCAAGAAAGCTGTGGGCAGGGAAGTTGATCAAGAACCAACGCTAAATGGGGAAACATATGTAATTATCTGGCGTAGGTCCCACGAACTAACAGCTTTATGTGATGGTGTAAGTCTGGATGGAACAGCGTAAGTTACTTATTTGCTCACCAATGACCGACTGCCGGCTTGCAAAAAGCATCCGCCAGGGCTGGCGTATTGGGTCATTTTGCTGTCTTGGTTTGCACCATGTTATATCGCTCTTGTTGAAACGGGACTTGATGTGTGAAATGTTCCGCATCAACCATTGTGTGCTGATCATATTTCGCTGGTGCAGTCAGTCGAAATGGCACGTTTTACGTGACGTATTCTTTTGTTGCAATGAATTGGACGGGTGGCATTTGATCCGCGTTACCAGCGGGATAAGCACTGGAATGGAATCAACTTGAATACCTTTAAATCGCAGGAAGAGCACGTATAAGTCTACTTTTTGGGATTGTTAAGTCCTTTTATGAATGACGTGTCCCAGTGAGCGATTTTCGAATATGGTTTGAGCGCCGGAACTTGTCGGTCGCTCCTGCATCGGGATTTTACGGACATGGCCTAAAACAAGCGCCCGTTGAAGCTTGTTCCGGCGTGCCATGGTCCACGGACCTTGTGAAGCCCAACAAGTGCGATGCGTTTCGTGTCATTCGAGCGGCCAGAAGCTGTGCGCACAGGTGTGCCGTGTGTCCTCAACGGCCCATGACTGGTATTGTTGTGTCTCTGTTGAAATGCAGACACTGACCTGGTTTGCCGTTGTTAAGAACGGTGATAACCCTGTGTGGCATGCTTCCCAGAAGTAGCCACAGGCGATCAGATGTTTCTGCAGGTTTGCTTGAGGGCCATTTCCTTTTTGTTGGCATGTGATGGACAGGCTCGACCGTGCACATGAGTATCTTGGTCTATACAGCCGGTGGTGTACCAGGGCAGCACGAGTATCTTGGTCTCTACAGCCGGTGTGCACCAGGGCAGAATGAGTGTCTCGGTTTCTACGGCCGGTGGTGCACGAGGGCGGTATGAGTATCTTGTTCTCTACAGCTGGTGGTGCGCCAGGTCAGTATGAGTATATTGGTCTCTACGGCGGTAGTGTACCAGGGCAGTACGAGTATCTTGGTCTCTACGGCTGGTCGTGCACCAGGGCCTCTAGACGTGCAGTACTCTCTCGGTTTTCCCGTGAATGGGCACTTGTCACATACCGGTTGGTTGCATTAATTCGGCTCAGTGTGCCAGAACAGCCGGCACTGGTAGCATCTCATTGGACTGGGATGAAGGGACGGACTTTCACCTTTGCACAGCCAGCTCGTCTTTTGCGTGCTAGGTAGGTTCCATCGAAGACAAGCTAATAATGTTAGCCGACGCTCGTCTTCAGTCACATAGCTCAGTTCCTCAGTACCCTGACATAATGTTTCGTTGTGGCAATTCGACACGTGGGTGCGACGCCCGCTTCATGTTGGCCCCACACAAACGGTACACAAACCGATCAGTGCTCGCCGCGTGCTGCGCACCTCGCCATTCTGCAGCTCCACATCCACCCTGGCGCCTCGCAGTAAATCACAATACCAAACCGGTCATCCATTACGCCCCCAAACGGGCGAAGGGTCCAGAGGTGTTCCCTTGTTGCGAAAGAATGCCATTCGTGCGGCGAGAGCTACCGCGCTGTTGCCTGCAAGTCTTTGATCCAGCACTCCTTTGCGGCCGGGCGTGCTGAGATGCGCGGAAGCCAGACAAGAGTGGTTTGAGCGCCCCGCACCGAGTGCCCTTACCCATCACGGAGCCCAGTTACTGGGCGACGGCTCAACACGCGAGGGAAGATGGCCACAATCAAGACCGCACCGGTGCTACACGGAGAAAACGAGGCTTCCACATTGTCAGGCACTACGAGAGACTCCTCCACGCCTTTACCGTAGTTCAGGGTGCCGTCTCTTGACTCCTTCGGCTGCCGCGCACGGCCGGGGACCCCGGACAGAGACTCGGGGGCAGCACCCAGCAGGTGACGACCTTCTAGGCCCGGGTGGTGCCCGGCGGGATGTGGCACCACCGCGCCCTCGCATACCCTGGCCAGGGAGTGAGAACGTGACACGACTAAAGCGCACTGCGCATGCATCAGCCACCAGCATCTGATCAGCCCGGGAATGCGGGCGAGCGGGTGCGGCGTACGTACCAGAGGTTCCACGAACCAACGTCTCTAGACAATAGCCTCTCTACACAAAGTTGTGGTGGACGGAAGTGTGTCACGGCGTAATCCGTGCGCGCAAGGGGGCTCTGAATGCGTTTCCTTGCCACACAACAAATCTGACCTTTTGCAACCAGCACACGCCTACCTCGGACGTATCTAGATATACATACGCATTATCTTCGAGAAGCGCTCGTCATGGTAGGCGCAGTTGGTCAACGAAATTGGCACGCGTGCATCGCACGTCCGAGCACGTTAAAGGATATTGCATGCCAGCGTCAGGCTGCGCCGACTAATCTTCATCTGGAGTGGCAATGGTAGGTGGGTGTGCTGTCGGGGCGCGGCGGAAACGGCGGTGAAAACACGCACAGAGTCGCTGACATCAGGCCTGCTCGGGGACACCCCATATTAATTTTTTCACTGACGAACACATGTTATAACCTAACATTCACGATGACTAAATAGAGGTCTGCGATGTTTCTCTGCGCGGCGTAGCGGAATATCTAGGCTTGATCCTTAATGACTTTGTTCAGGCGGCTGCCTCCGTCTGCGGTCGAGGTGCTTTTAGTTCATTTCAATTCATTATGGAGGCGGATGAGGTTCCGGCTCTGCGTTGCTAAATTATGATGGTGATGCTGGAGCCTGGCAGGTGTGGCACGAACCCAGCAGGTTATCACCTCATCGGACGTATTTCCTCATGTGTAAGCTACTTGAGCGTCTAATAGATGCACGTCTGTCATGGTTTTGGAGATGGGCCAAAGTTCTACGAACGTCCAGTGCAGCTTCAGGGGAGACCAGAATAATGTAGAGCACAGCGTAACACTTGGCGCTTGAGCGCGTTAGTTACGAGGAAAAAAGACGACGCATTGGGACTGTTTTCCTCAGTTTGGAAAGAATGAATGACCTTACGTGGAGTTGTGTTTTATTACGGGATCTGTGAAGCGATTGTGACCCTCTCATCCCGTTTACTTGCTGATCGATTAGAGTTCCAGTGTTTGTGTCGACGCTCAGTACGTGCTCTGACCTACAAGAGAGCGGTGTGCCAGGGCATCGTCCCCAGCGTCGCTATTTTCGAGGTCGTGATAAATGACAGTGGGCGTATACTTCCAGTCGGTTGACCAATCCTCATTCGCTGACAATTTCGCAAGCTGGTGCTCCTCGTCAAGCGCAGCGTCCATGGAACTACAGCTGCAGCTGGCGGTGGCCCGACTGGAAAAGTGGTTCGTGTGTCATTAGGGTAATCGCATTTTCTCCACATCAAGAGCCATCTCACTATACCTGTGCCGCCGTGTGGCCAGTGTTGCGAGATGTCGCTGTGGCTGCACGGCAAACCGATCCCGGACGAACCGAGGTCCCAATGCGCCGAGGAATGTGTTGACTGCTTCACCGCTCATTCATGCGATCTAAGCTCGACCATCCACATTGTATGTTCTGACCTGCGCTCTGCTGGTATCAACGTCACCGGCATCGCGGAGTCCTGTGCGTTGCCATAGGTTCCTTTAGTATGTATTTATGCAGCAGCCCTTCGGTGGAGGCACGTGACGCTTTGGAAGTGCATCACGCAATGTAATTTCCTGACCGCCCGACACACAAGCCGGTCCTGACGACGCACAGTGATGTTATGTGACCAAGGACGCCAACAGCATGCTTTGTCCTTCTCCAGCAATTGGAAATGCAACACTTGATTTAAGAAAGTGGTGTAGGTGATGCGTGATATTTTGACGTTCCTTCATGCACTGCACCGTGTGAACTATTTGTGCCGAACGTAGACTTGGCGCTGTGGGACCTCATTCAGCTTACACAGATATATATATATATATATATATATATATATATATATATATAATATGTGTTACATGTTAAGAGATATCGTGTAATTTTCGGTTCGAGACTTTGGTACTCTTTGTTATATGCTGGAGACCACATCATTTAAATGCATGTGGTTCTAAAGCTGAGACGGATACCGGAGTGGCATTAAGCGGCGATGTGATTAGGATTTTAGGCTTTGTTTGCCTGACATAAGCAACGCCTTGGGCTTTGTTGGCCTGACCTAGACAACGCCTTGGGCTTTGTTGGCTTGACCTAGGCAACGCTGGCAATGGCCCGGATGTCAGCGCGTCTCATTTGATCCGGCCGGGCCGACTGACGTCATCAGGGCGCCCTGTTCCGTTGGGGCTCACGATGTGACACGGCACTTCACTTGAGCAGACTCGCCGGGTGCTGATGGACAGGTATCCTCAGTGTCTCCTCTAACAGGACTTGTAATGCACATTGCAGTGCTTAATCGTGCTGGGAAGGCGGTTTTGTGTCACTGGACCCCAAACCATGCGCACATCACAGGCGACGCGCTGTCTGACTGCGGCGAAACGGGTAGCATAAACGTCATATAGACGATGTTTGCCTCTGCTGCTGTCTGACAGCGGCGAAACGGGCTACTCAAACGCCATGTGGACGCTGTTTGCCTCCGCTGCTCAGAAACCTCTTTTCAGCTACCATAGGTTACGTAAAAGGAAAATGGTCACAATGCTGGGATGACGAGATCAATAACAGGCTGAGTGCGATCATACCACATTAATCATCAGGCGATCAAGCGATCACGCCATGCTGGCCATTGAGCTCGAGTGCGGCGAGGCACGAAGAGGTAAATGTGTAAATTGGTCGCACTCACGCCACATGTGGCTACTGTGTGCCGAAGCCAGGCTGGAACCCTCCAGATCAAATGTGCCGGAGACCGTTTACCACGTGTTCTGCTCATGCTCCCACTTCACGGTAGAGCGGTTGCGACGTTTCGGACGAATAGCCTTGTCTTTGGCTTCCGGTGGCATTTTGGAGAACGGCTCTTGCTCGTTAACCTGGAGTCGGTAGTTTTGTTTCTTAAAGATGTCGAGATACTCAGCGATGTCCATTCGTTCGGATGTAGTCGCTCGCTCATGTCTAGTTTAAGTTACATAACGCTTCCAACCAGACGTTATGGGGTCATTATCTCCGACGTCATCGCACCAAAAAACTCAAACCATTATCATAATCGTGCTTGAGACAGCTTTGTAACATCATGCGTTCCCATCACTCACCACGATTGCAATGTTTTCTGACGGAAAATGGCAGCTTGTGTGTTCTGCACAACCCACGTTATCCCCGTATCGCCCCTTGCTGGGCGCGCTGTCGTCTGCTGCAGCAGCGACCCATGACGAGGGATGAGAGGATGAGGGTGGTCAAGACCGGTTGGTTTGTGCCGAGAGGGGTAATGTCAGTGGAGGGTGAGGCAAAAGAGCCACGTCTGATATTCACGGCAGGTAGATGGTAGCATGAGACGTACTCGCTGCTTTCTCCATTATCAAGATTTCATGCCTTCAGCAGTTTGTGAAACACGGTGAGGAATCCGAAGTCCGACGTAACATATTTAAACGTCACGCACAGTTTCTATTGCGAAGCCAGCTTTCATCAAACTCTTGGCAAACCGTCTCCAGCCCGCGAGCCGTGCCGCTCGGCACCTTCAATTTGCGATGCAAATGTGGGTTCTGCGTCCACCTGGGGTAACCGTATGGTACGGGAATGGCGAGGAGTCGACTATGCTCAACTCGGCGTCAATGCTTTCTTGTCTGATGACTTTATGAAGGAATGTTCTTGGAATGCTGTCTCGGTCCTTCACGACAGGGGCGACGCAAGTGCTTTGTGCATTACGTCATCACAAAATGTAACCTTTACTTTCTTTTTGCAGCCGAAGGTGTTACAGAGCAGTCAAAGCACTTCTGACATACTTAAATACGCAGTTCTTCAATGATGGAAACGATGAAACATGGCTTCCGCTCGCAGTAAATACCATGGGCTGGAGAACGTTGCCACTGTCATCTGTTGTTGTTGGCGGTTGTGGGCTGCTGTCTTTAATATGCTAACTGCGTAGCATTCGGCCGCCTTCCCTTGGGCCTCGCCGGATATCGGACCTGTCTGAATGGCGTCCTTCAGGCGTCTGCCGCAGCTCCTTCCCTCCCCTTCCGTCCGCGTCCAATGGCGGCGCCATCCTTCCGCTCACGTGCTGCGGCGAGCCGATAAGGTGAGAAACAGGGTGTGCTGAAGCGACGGGACGCGGCCGCCTGCGGCACGGGCGGGGATGTACCTGCGGCTGGGAACGCGGCTGCGGCTACGGTTCATTTGGTGCTGTAGTTGTGGTCCGCAACTTGCAGGACCTGTTTTGTAAAACAGGCTGCGGGAGAGAGTGAATGTTCGATATGTTTCCAACGTGGAAATGTGTCTTGGTAAGTCCGCAAAATTTTAAGCATTTGGGTAGTTTGTTTCGCATTTTCGGTTTATTGTAAGTTTCATGTATCCAATGCTTTGATAGTCACCCCACGAAAGATTACTATCCCAAATCTAGTGGCGGTCCTCAGCACGTTTTGTGCTTTTCGCATATGGTAGGCGTCGCGAGTCCTTGTGTCCTTGCGTGAGTCGCGAGTCCTTGTGTGCGGTTAATCTCAGGCTACGCGGTATTCCCGCGCCGTGCTCAACCGGAGCCAAGGCTGTGGTTTCAGTTGCTCGAGGCAACCTTTTTTCTGTTTTTCTCTGGTAAAATATGCGATGCTTATGAGTTTGTGCATCGCGCAATTTCGGTAGGTGGTAGGCACAGTCGTGAGCTCCTCAAACTTGGCTTGAGCGGCTGCCTTCCGATCCACCCACCCATGGCGGGGTGGGTTCGGGTCGCTCAAGACGCTCGCTATCTGGCCTTGATAGGCATGGCCTGCGGCCGGTGGCAGTGGCCGCACTGGAGGTCACGTGACGTCACGGGGTAGGAGGGATCGTGCCTATTGCGGCACGTGAAACTTTCGCCATCAAATTCTGCCGTGGACCTGGAATTGCGCGATCGGATGGTAGGGGTCAGGACTCACACAACAAGCTTGGCGGAGCTGTGATCCCATGAATACATCCCTTCAAAAGAGAGGCTTGGAGCACACAAAAAAAAAACACGGGAGACATGGTGCATTGTTTGCGCTCTTCATGGGGAAGGTCCAAATAAAAAACAACTAATCTTTTTAACGGTCCGCACACGAATTCGCTCATAACGATACATTTTGAAGACGGGCAACTTCAAACGTCCTTGAGCTTGAAGGTTTGCACTATTTCTGATTTGCAAATGATTTACGAGAATTAAGAATATGTTTATACAAAGTAGAGTTTAGCACTACATCTGGGATTTTGTGCATGGTGACTGTGCTTAGGCGGTTGCGACGTGTGTGTGTGTGTGTGTGTGTGTGTGTGTGTGTGTGTGTGTGTGTGTGTGTGTGTGTGTGTGTGTGTGTGTGTGTGTGGTGTGTGTGTGTGTGTGTGTGTGTGTGTGTGTGTGTGTGGTGTGTGTGTGTGTGTGTGTGCGTGCGTGCGTGCGTGCGTGCGTGCGTGCGCGCGCGTGTATGTGTGGGCCGGAGCCGGAGCCAGAGTCAGCTCTGCCAGAGCCAGAATCAGAGCGAACAGTGTCGTGGTAATCATCCTGAGACGTGCTGTGTCGTTGGGTGACTTCATCACGAACCTATGGCGTCCCCACCCGGGTCGCGGTTTGACTTGGTGCGGCAAAGCGTGCCGGCGTAGAGATCGTTTGCACTCTGGGGCTGCGTGACATGGACAGCGTGTCGCCGGCGCACAGCCGTGTGAGTTGTGCGTGTCGGTGCCAGTGACATGTGGTAGTGAACTTGGGCAGCTGCCGTGATCTTCCATCATCTGTGTCCAACTGCCGTTCATCTGCCGTCATCTGTGTCCAACTGCCGCTCATCTGCCGTCATCTGTCGCTCTCCGACTGACCGCCTGACTCTCTTCCAGGACAAAAAACCGTCAGATAAGCGGTCTACCTCCGACAAAAAGCAGCCGCACCGGCCGCGTGACCCGTTCCTCAACCTGTTCGGACCGCCGATTAAAAAGACCAACCACGTTTCGCCGCCGGAGGTGAAGAGGCCGCGGGCGGAGGCGGCCGTGTCCCGGCCAGCGGCGCCCCCGGCAGCAGCGCCGTCCGCCCGGCCTGCGGAGCCGCCGGCCAAGGAGCGCGCCGCACATGGCAGCGAGCGGGGCCGCGACAAGGCCAGGGATGCCGACCGCGACAGGGATAGGAAGGAGAGCAAGAGCCGCGAGAAGAAGCACAGGGACAAACATCGCGAAGAGAAGCACAAAGCCAAGGAGGCCAAAGAAAAGGAAAAACACCGCGCCAAGAGGGAGAAGGAGAAGAGACGAGATGAGTCGAGGGAGTCCAAAGAGCGAGACAGGGAGAAGGCGGAGAGAGCGCTGGAGAAAGAAAAGGCACTGGAAAAGGAAAGGGCGATGGAAAGAGAAAGGGCCCTGGAAAAGGAAAGGGCGCTGGAGAAGGAAAGGGCGCTGGAGAAGGAAAAGGCACTGGAGAAAGAGAGAGCTCTGGAGAGGGAAAGGGCTCTGGAACGAGACAGGGCCATTGAAAAAGAAAAGGCTCTGGAGAGAGAAAGAGCCATAGAAAAGGAAAGGGCTATTGAACGAGAAAAGGCGCTTGAAAAGGAGAGAGAAAAGGAAGCAGCACGAGCTCAAAAGGAAAAGATTGCTAGGGAAAAGGAGCAAGCGCAGAAAGAAGCAAAGCTCAAGGAGCGAAAGGCTCAGGAACTACGAGCGGCCAAATTGAAAGAACGCAGTAATGCTAAGAAAGCTGCGAAACGCTCGCGATCCCCGTCGGAAGAACCGTCAAAGAAGATAAGGCTAGAAAACTTCAAACTAGAACCTAAGAAAGAAAGGGACGATAGCGTCAGGCACAAGGCTGCAGAGAAGACCAAGTTCTCCGGCGATCTTGCTGGGAGGGGGAAGTCCGATTCGTACAGTGGCAGGGGAAAGGGATCGGAGGCTCACGTGGAGAAGGCTAAAGACAAGCAGAGTAAAGAGGAGAAGCGTCGGTCGAAAGCTTCTGTGAAGGACGCTACTGGTGGTGGTAAAAGCAAGGATGATAAAAAGCGCAGCAGCGGCGACAGCGACGATAGGTCCGAGCGCAAACCGACGACACCCATGCGGCCCACCGAGCCGACACCGGTCAAGAGTGAGGCTAGGTCACCGCCTGCGCCCGACGACAAGAGCCGCCACGGCGAGCCGGCCAAGCTCAAATCGGCGAAGCGTCGCAAGCGGGAACACACTTCGCCGGCGACCAAGTCGCGCGATGAGCCGCCGCGTCCGCGCGCTCCGCCGGTGGCGCCCCCTTCCCCGGTCGAATCTACGGCGGCGGCGGCGGCGACGACGGCGGCGGCGACGGCGACGGCGGCAGCGACGGCGACGGCGGCATCGACGGCGACGGCGACGGCGACGGCGACGGCGGCGGCTGCGGCGGCGAGCCCAGCGCACAGCGGATCGTCGCCGTCTGGAAAGCCGCACCCTCTGCGCAAGCTGATGGACGAGGTGCACGGGTGGGACTCGCCCAGCGACGATTCGTCGAGCGAGAGCGAGCCGGAAGCACCGGCCAAGCGACCGGCCGGCCGCAGCCCGCGGCCCAGCGCGCGCCCGCAGCCTGTGCCGGTGGAGCCGGCGCCGCCGCCGCTGTTGCCGCCACCGGAGCCCGCCGCCGGATCGCGCAATGATTTGAGCATATACACGGCCGAGTACCTGGCTGAATTGCAGGAGCTACAGCGGCGCATCATGACCTCACAGGACCGCGACGAGCTCAGCCGCGTGTTCGACCTCATCTGGGAGACGGGACAGGTGGAGGACAGCGCTAACTACTACGACTTCGACCTGTGTGCGCTGGACCAGGCGGTGGTGCGCAAGCTGCAGCAGTGTCTTCTCATGGTGTAGCCTGCCGGCGTGGCGGGTCGCGGTCGCGTTTTCTGTGGCGTGGGACTGGCGCGCCATCCGGCTCGCTGCCGTGTAGTGTGTGGCCGACTCGCTGCCGTGTAGTGTGTGGCCGACTCGCTACCGTGTAGTGTGTGGCCGACTTGCTACCGTGTAGTGTGTGGCCGACTCGCTGCCGTGTAGTGTGTGGCCGACTCGCTGCCGTGTAATGTGTGGCCGACTCGCCGTCGCGGCCGCCGTCTCTGTGTTGTATAGGCATCCCGCCGTCTGTGATTCCGTTTTGATGTCAGATTTTATCCTGTGCACCACAATCAGAGCCATCAGGGTATCGGTGCCGTATGCCGCCGAACCGGTCACCTTCGATGTTGTTATGTGATCAATGGCATGGCACGTGCGATGATGCGCCGCAGGGCCGGGATTTTGCCGGACGATGTGGTTGTCCTAGACGATTGGTTTAAATGTTGAATTCGTATGTCACTTTTGGCATTCCCGATACGCATGCTTATTTTCTGCGTATTATCTTTCGCCCCAGCTATTTGTAACATCATTGTATGTTGCCAGGGCACTTTCAGTGCAGCCGGTTCAGCCGATTTTGCACTGTTGTTTCCGTGCAAGCGAGGCCAAACAAATGGGCTGGCGATGGACCGAAGGCTCACGTGGATCAGTCACGTTGCTGCAGATCACAGCAGATTATATGTATGCACATCAGTTTGTTGCCGTGAGCTTCGCTTGGCAGGTTTAGTGGAAACAATCTGTGAAGTTAGGTATCGGCAGTGACTGTGTGATCACCGTTTGTGCCCACCTCCGTTTGGCATTCCCTGCTTTCCACACTCTCCTTTGCGACTGTCTTCTTTGTCGTCCT